AAACCTGGAGGCAGGAGCTGATGCAGAGGTCATGGAAGGGTGCTGCTTACTGGCTTGCTCTCCATGGCTTGCTCAATCTGCTTTCTTATAGAACCCAGGACCACCTGCCCAGGAATGGCACCACCCACCATGGGTTGGGCTCCCCCATCAACCACTAAGAAAATGCCCTATAGGCTTGCCTAAAGCCTAATTTTATGGAGGCATGTCTTTAACTGAGGTTCCCTCCTCTCTGATGACTTTAGCTTGTGTCAAGTTGACAAAGGAACTTTGGAGCTGAGAGGCTGGGCATAGTGGTACACACCTATAACCCCAGCACTCAGAAGAATACAGTGAGAAGCAGGAGGATTGCCACAAGTTTGAGGCCAGTCTACATAAAAAGTTCCAGAAAAGCTAGGGCTACATGGTGAAAGCCTGTCTCAAGAAACAAAAGCAGTCCAATGGAGTGACACAGGCCTTTAATCCCAGCACTGGTGAGGCAGAGGCAGAGGCAGGTGGATCTCTGTGAGTTCGAGGCCAGCCTCATTTACAGAGTGACTTCTAGGACAGCCAGGACTACACATAGGGAAACCAGGTCTTCAAAAATAAAACAAAAGAAAATCCAACTAAACAAAAAACCTTGCATTGTAGTCACTGACTAGCACATAAAATCTGGTGTATCCCCTATCTCCTCCAGATATTGTGGGTTTCAGAGATTTGGGACAGTGTTAGACTGGTGTGTTGGCACATATCTGCCATCCCAGCTACTCAGCTGGCACAGGCAGGAGGATTCAAAGTTCAAGGCCTAGTCTGATATGGTGGCACACACCTTTAATCCCAGCACTCAAGAGGCAGAGGCAGGCAGATTCCTGTGAGTTCCAGGTCAGCCTGGTCTACAGATTGAGTTCCCAATAAGTCAGGGTTATACAATGAGATCCTGTGTGACAAACAAAAACAGAAAGAAAGAAAGAAAGAAAGCAAGGAAGGAAGGAGTTTAAGACCTGCCTGAGCTACATAATGAGACCGTTTCAAAAATGACATTTTAAGCCATTGCCTTTAATCACATTTAAGCACATGCCTTTAATCCCAGCACTCAGAAAGCAGAGGCAAGTTCAAGACCAGCCTGGGCTACAAGGTGAGTTCCAGGACAGCCAGGGCTACATACATATAGAGACTCTGTCTTGGAAAACCAAAACAACAACAAAAACAGAAATGACAACAACAAAAGTTTTTAAAAGGTGTTGGACGTTGGGAGGTGGTCTCAGTTGCTCAGTTGGTGTTAGCCTGAATTCAGAGCCCCAGAACCTAAGTAAAAAGTCACAGTGTGCCTGTGCCTCTAGCAATGGGGGATGGGAGGCAGAGACAGCTAGCCTAGCCTGTGTGGTGAAGATCCAGGCCAGTAAGAGATTCTATCTCAAACAAAGGGTGGACGGTGCCTAAGCACCAACCTTAGTGGTTGTCCTCTGACCCCCGTATGTGTGCCATGCATGTGTGCACCAACACCTATCCACACACAGACAAACAAAAGAAATACATAAAAATGACACCAAGCAGCCCTGGGTTCAGTCCTCAGGATTACACAACAAACAGGCAAACTTACTCTTGCTTGCATGTGGGACAGTGTCACCTCCCATCTGTGGGACTCAGATCCCCAAAAGCTGAGGTTTACCCCAGAGATGAAAGGAAGGGGTAACCCCTTGAACTTGGAATTTTCAGACCAGCCCCCACTGAGGCTCCAGGAGTCTGTTTAGCTTCAAGGATGCCCCACCCTGGCCAGAGGACCCCTTATGAGCAATTCACTTAAGCCCCATAGACACAGGCAGTCATGAGACTTGTGCCACCTAGTGGCTGTGAGAACAGCAAGGCCAGTCCATTGTTCTTGAGAAAGTCTGACTTGGGGCTGTCTCCTGCAGTGTTTCTAGTGATTGTGGGTGATCCCTCTGACTTCAGGAGTCAGCCACAGCTAATAGGGAGGGCTGCCTGCACAAAACTTTGAAGGTGGGCTATAATGAGCACACATGTTCCCTAGCCTGGGATGTCTCTATTTCCAGATGTTAGTTTGTTTGTTTTTTATTTTTTGAGACAGGGTTTCTGTGTGTAGCTTTGTAGGCTAGGCTGACCTTGAACTCACAGGGATCTGCCTGCCTATGCCTCCTGAGTGCTGGGATTAAAGGTGTGTGCCACCACTGCCCGGCTACAATAGTGTGTTTGTAGTTATTCAAATTTTTATGATGTTTGTATGTGAATATGTCATAGCAGTGTGTTGAAGTCAGAGAGCAATGTTCATGACTTGATCCTTTTCTTTCTTTTTTTTTTTTTTTTTTTTTTTTTTTTTGGTTTTTATGAGACAGGGTTTCTCTGTATTGTTTTGGAGGCTGTCAGACCAGCCCAGCCTCGAACTCACAGAGATCGCCTGCTTCTTCCTCCCGAGTGCTGGGATTAAAGGCGTGCACCACCACCGCCCGGCAACTCTCCTTATTTCTTAACGTTTTGTTTAATGCCTGTTTTGTCTGTGTGCCACTTGCATGCAGTGCCCAAGGAAGTCAGAAGAGGGCATTGAATCCCCTGGAATGGAATTTAGTTTGCCACCATGTAGGGTGCTGGGAGTTGAAGCCCGGTCCTCTGCAAGACTGACAGATGCTCTAACCCACTAACCCCTCTCTCCAGCTTTAAAAACCTTATCTGTATACTCGTCTATGGAGCATACGCACACATGCGACCTACACAGGTGTGATCGTCACTCTACCATTTCTCCTATATGGGAGGCCATGTGGTGGACATGGATGAGCTCTGGAACACAGGTGGCTGCAAGACTTTGCTAGAACATCTGGGAGTGCATACACACAGGAAGTGTACTCCAATTTGAAGGCAATGGCTAGAGATCTTCAGTATTACTGCAGTCTCTTCCTGATTAGTTCAGGCGATCTGGGAAGCTTCCAGAGCCTTTAGTACTCTTCTTTTGATGGAAGCAAGGATGAACCCAGGGCCTCACACATGCAAGGCATGACCCTACCAGAGGTATATCCCAGTCTCTTCATATTCTCAATAAAGTGACTTTTGTGTTACACATGTCGGTGTGTGGGTCTGTGCAGGTGAGTGCAGGTGGCCTTGGGGTTCAAAAGATAATTCTGGATCCCTGCAAGTGGAGTTACAGGTGGTTGTGAGCTACCTGACATGAACAATGGAATCAAACTCTGGTCCTTAAGAGCAGCAACAGCCCTGAAGCACCGAGCCAGCTCTTGCCTCACCTTTCCATTTTGTGAGACGGGTTCACTGGGTTGTACAGGCAGGCTCTGGACTTTCAGTGCTGCCTCCAGCCTCCCAAGCACCTGACGTTACAGGTGTACACCCTAGGTCTAACTTATTATCGGCTTGCCTTTATAAACATGAGAGTGTGTGTGTGTGTGTGTGTACAGGCCATGGGACACACATGGTTGCCTGAGGACAACTTGCAGCAGTCACTTCTTTCCTGCCTTGTGGAAATTAATTAGGGACCAAATTCAAGTTGCCAGGCTTGCCTGCGTACAAAAGCATCTATTTGCTAAGCCGGCTCAATGGCCCTGGTTTGATTTTTGGAGACAGACCTTTAATACATTAGTCCACATTGGCCTTGATTTTTTAAAAAACATATTTTAAGCATATGACTGCTTGCTTGCATGCCTGCGTATCACATGTGTTAGATCCTCTGGGCCTTGAGTTACATACAGGTGGCTGAGAGCTGCCTGAAGTGGGTGCTCTTTTAACCAAGCCATCATCTCTCCAGCCCTGCTTTGCCTATTTTTTTGAGACAGGATTTTTTTTGAGTATAGGTATTAGTGCCTACAGATATGTGTATTGGTGCCAACAGAGGACTTCAGGTCCCCTGGAAGTGGGTTGCAGGCAGTTGTGAGTCACCATGGGATGCTGGGAACTGAACCTGGGTCCTCTAGAAAGGCAGAGTCATCATCTCCAGTCCACTGAGACAGCTCCCCGCACCTGCCCCAGACAGGGTTTGTCAGTGCAGAACAGGCTATCCTTGAACTCACAGAGATCCACCTTAAAGGTGTGTGTACTGCCACCACCTACTTAGACCAGGTCTTAATGCAGTCCAGATGGACATTTAACGCCCTGGCAGCTGAGGATCACTTCAAATGTCGGATCCTCCTGACTCCACCTCCCTAGTGTTGGCATCTTAGGCACGTACCACACCATCCAGCTCTGATACAGGGATTTGTAATCAGGGTGCACTTCTAACAGACTTCATCCCCCAGCAGACTTCCCACACAGGCCAGCACTGGCTTTGGATCAGCCCTCCTCACACTGGGGACACCACAGGACAGGAACCGGATGCCCAGAACAAGTGATCTGGCCACTTCCAGCGTGCCGAGGGCAGGAGTCAGTAGGACCACGCATCTTTATGTCAGCATCATGGTGAAAGCACAGCTGAGTGAGGTGGATGAGCTTGCTTGTGCCTGTAACCCTCAGCATGGGAGGCAGGGGCAGCCTGGGCTCAAGTTCGAGTGCAGCCTGGGCTACATTGTAAGATCATCTCAAAGACAACAGGAAGCACCACGGAGAGTGGAGCTGAGCAAAGAATCCATTTCTCATCTCAGCTGTGACCAAAATATTCTAGTCTTTTCCAAGCAGCCCACCTGCTGTCGAATCGTGTCTCCAAGTCAGATTGTGAGAATGCAGCTACTAAGCCCGACTTGGAATGGGTTGCAGCCCCGAAGCTCCAGGGTCCACAAGAGGGGCAGAATTGGGCAGCTCCAGGTGGAGGGAGCTCTATCTGACTGGACAGGGCATTTGCTGCAGGGGGATGGCAGCCCTGGGCCTCTGCAGCACATGGTCTATGCTTAATGTCCAGAAGAGGTGTCTCCACACTACCAGCCCCCAAGACAGACTACACCTATCTTCATACCAAGGAGCAAGACAGGCCAGGGCAGATGTCCACACACACCCTCCAGTGACAGTCTCCGTCTTCCACCTAGCTTTGTAAGCAGACAGCAGAGCTGAAGAAAAACCATGCACTTTACTCTGAGACGTTTCAGTTTTAGTGTTTATTGGAGTCCATTGCTGGCCAGGCCCAGTGCTGGGCTCCACTCAACACACCTCACAACAGCCCTGTGAGGTAGGGTTCTTCTTGTACATTCCAGCCTGAAGTCTCCAAGACCTGCCCCTAGCACACACCATTAGTGTAGGCAGGGCAAGGGACTCCAACTTTTGCTTTGTTTTAGAAAATACAAAAGCTTTGGTCCCAGTCCACACAAATCTTAGAAATTTGGGGAGTTTTAAACTCTCATTCCCCATTTTTTTTAAGTCATCATCATTTGGGTTTTTGAGACAGGTTCTCAATCTGCGGGCCAGGCTCACCCAGAACTATACAGTCTAGGCTGGCCTCAAACCCACAGCAATCCTCCTGCCTCCCTCTCCTGACTGCTGGGATTACAGGTGTACCTGATTCCAAAATTTTCTCTTAACTTTGGAAAATTAAAAAATGACCATTAGTGTGAGGCCTGGGGACCAGTAACCACTCAGTGTGAATTCTATTGATTCGGTCCCTTAATTGGCTCCCTCCACACTCTGCCTCAGGCGTGCAGAGGCCAGCAGAGACTGAGTCTGTCCAGCCTGTGAGACCACTGAGTGAGGGCAGAGAGCCCTGGACACTTTTCTGACCAAATCTTCAAGTGAGGAAACTGAGCCAAAAGGGAGAAACGAATTCCAACCTAGTTTTGGAACACTAACTTTCAAGAGAAGAAACCACAGCCACTGGAACTGAGCCCCAAACTCATACAGTGTTCAGGTTCAGCACACAACTCACACATTAATCCAGACATTCACTCTTTGGTTCCAGGAAACCCCAGCTCCCAGTCAACCCTGTGCACTCCCCGGCTCTTCTGGTCAGTGTCTCCCTGGCTGTGCCTGGTCCTGCGAAGACCTGCTCTATTTTCCCAGAAGCACCCACTGTGCCAGATCACAGGGCTGGGGTCCCGTGTTCTTAGGGTCCATGATAGTCACAGTTTAAAGTTCAGCACCCCCATCTTCACCCCTGCCTTATAAAATGTACATAGTTGGCTACTCAGATACTCCAGGGCACAGGTACAGCCAGCAGCCAGATCTAGCTGTGGGCACCCTCATGCCCCACCCATTCCATCAGCCACCCTGGGAGCAGCAAGAGAGGGGGACACAAGCAGGTCTGACTAGCCACTGGCACTCTACCTTCAAAACCCCACTGCTAGGATCTGTGTTTAGAATGCAGATCTTCTGAGGACCTGAACTCTTCATTCTGTAGAGCTGAGAAAGGAGACAGGCATAGCTGTAATCCAAGCTCTCAGGAACTTGAGGCAAGGAGACTGCTCTAAGTTTGAGGCCAGCATGGACCATATATAGTTAGTGAGTTCCAGGGCAGCCTGGGCTATAATGTGAATCTGTACTTCTCCCCAAGCCACCAAAAAGTCAAAGGCAAACAGAAGTGAGGGCAGCCCTGAAATCTGACATCACTTCCTTGCACTTAAAGACCTATATAGAAAAGGCACATCACCCCGGGGGAGGGAGCCTGTCTCCCTGGGGCCTCTCTACCCGTCCCCACTAACTCTGAGGAAGGGAGAGGGGCCTGTGGCAGACACTCCAGCTCCAGTCCCCTGACTGATGTCTGACATAGCATCTTACACTCTGCTTTCTTGGGCATGGGAGTAGCTACAGACTCTCCTTTAAAAACAAAACAAAACAAAAAACCCCAAGTCACAGTTATTGGATGGGGACAGTAGGAGACAGACAGAGCATTTAATGACACAGACAAGATTGCCTTCCTTGGCTCTGGCACACTGCCAAGTTCACCTGCCAGAAGAGAAGGCACAGAACAGAAACGGCTTCTCTCTCTCAAGATCCCCATGGAGAGCAAAGACCGCAAACGACAAGCCCCCATGGGGAAGCTAGTCCCAGAAGGATCCAATCTGGAAACAGTGGAATAAATGGAGGGAAAGTGGTCCAGGAGGGGCTGTAGGACAAGAGGGCTCCCACAGGCTACTGCCCACTGACTCCCTGGCTGGTCTCAGAGGGCTGACGGCCCTGTCCCTACAATCACTGCACATGGAGCCTTCTTCATCTGTGCCCTGCCGTGAGACCCGATGACTGGGGGTTGCTATGGAGTGACCACTCGCTCTCCTATGCTGGCTTGGCACATCACACATGCAAAGCAAGGAGACTCCAAGACTTCAAACAGTTAACTTTGGCAAAAAAAAAAAAAAAAAAAAAAAAGGAAAGAAAAAAATTAAAAAGTAATGAGAGGAAATAAAAAGCTAAAATTCATAAGCAGGACTGAAGTCACTGAATTGAAAACAGTGTATTTTCAACAGTATAGATAGACTAGAACTACGATCTCTTTGTTTCAAAGTCTCTGCCATCCTCTCCCTCAATTCAGGTCAAAGTTCATAGCAGCAATGCACAAGTCCTCTGCCAGGCCAGTGTTCTCTGCATCCGGGCCAGAGTTCACAGGTCAGGATCAGTCAGTCCGGAGAATCATGGGAGGATGTTCACTGTCTTCGTCTAGGCGCAGGGCACTGGCTTCATCCTCCAGGCACGCACCCCCCACAGCACCCAGGTCATCTGTGTAGGCTGTAAAGAGATGAGAGTGCTGTTCTCACGGAGCTGGCTCAGCCATGAGCAACGACCACACTAAGACCTTCCCAACCTGGTCAGAAGTCACAGTGAGGCTGCCACAGCCGCGGGCAGAGACAAATGATGGCACACATTTCCCAGCATGCAACAGCACAGCACAAACCCTCTAAATAGTGGTAACTCAATGCACAGGACCAAGGCGACCTTAAGGGACTCTAGCTGGAGACACACAGTCATGTGCTATAGCTGAGGGGCTGCTCTATAATATGGGAACTAGCACAACTGCTCATGCAAGCAAACCCTTTGAGTTTAGGGAAAGTCAGCCACAGGGATGGAGAGGGCCACGCCTGAGTGACCTCAAATGTCAGCACTAGTGGCCTCTGCCCATGATGCATAGCAGGACAAGCTACTCACAGAGAAGGTGACATGCTGGGTGAGCTCACACATAGCCAAACTCAGTGGCCACAAAATGAAGCATATAAATTCACTTCCATAAGCCTTGGAAGGAAGCTCTGTCCCATGGCTCAGTTGAAAGCAGCAACTCCAGTGACAACACAGTATGGAAGATCCTGGAAGTTGTCTCTCAATTACCTTCTAAGTTGGCGTCCTGTCCTTTACCAAGTCTTGTTGGGGATGAGGGCACATAGGCACCTTTGGCAGCTGCTGCGCCATACGTCTGTGTTACTAAGGGGCAGTCGTGAGATGCAGAGTCTACAATTTCACTGGTCGTCTCCATACTGCCATCAAGCCTGGAGACGTAAACCAATGGGGTCAGACTCACTGTTCAAGCTGGGTGTGCTGGTTCATTTTCAAAGTCCCAGCACTTGTAGGTTGAGGTAGGAGGATTTCCTTCAGTTTGAGGTTGCAGAGCAGGACCTATCTCAAACAAGTGTTCCAGAAGGACAGATGGGCATAGTATGTACAGCACATCCGGGTCAAGGAGAGAGTGCCACAGCCGTCTGCTCCCACCTGATAGAACACGCCCACCAACAAACACCAAGAATCTGCTCCCTGGGATTTCTACAGTGACTTTAACACAGGAAGTCTAATAAAGTCACTCACATCTCAATCACCCCACTTGCATCGTAAGGTGAGATGGTAGGCTCCTTCCTGTGAGGGCACCTTACTGGAAAACCCTGAGCCTCACCCTCAGCAAGGGCCTGGGTGCCACCCAATCATCATACCCTTAGCATCATTGCCTCAGGTACCTTTCCTCCTGCCAGCAGAAGAAAGTAGAGGCTCTTAGCATCAGAAAAGTGAGTTTCAGTGGGGAGATGACGCTTGCCAATGACACAGGCTAGCACATCGGCCCTAAGGGATGGAAGCACAGACCTACCCCATGCCCACAGCTGCAGACTGCCACGCAGAGCAGCCTCACCTGTGCTGACGCATCAGGGCACACTCGCCACCTTCCTGCGGGTCCAGGTTGTACATGTACAAATAGCCGTCTGATGCTCCTACCAGCAACCGAGGGATCTTCTGAATTCTAAAGAAAAGCAGCCATAGTTTAGAAAGAAGACATCCAACTAAAGGCATCCAACTAAAGCTACACCTCAGCAGGGCTAGGAAGAAACCTGCCAGTGCACTAGATGAAGACGGCACCTGGGGCTCCTCAGCGTCAAGTTGGCAAAGTCAAGGGTGGCTTGGGTGTGAGCACACACTGATTCCCAAAGAGCACATGGTACAACAGGGTAGCTGTCAGTATCTTGGGTCACTAAGGGAGGGTATTTTCCCTTTCTTTCCTGTGTGTGTATATACATGTACTCATCTATACATGTATGTAGGGAAGTAAGACGAGGGTGTGAGATGTCCTGCTCTACCACTCTGGGCTTTATTCCACTGAACTGGGTGTAGGCTGGCAACAAGTCCCAGTGACCACTGTCTCTGCCTCCCTTGTGCTGGAACAGGTGCACGAGGTCACACCTGGCTCCTATATGGAGGACAGAGCTGATGCCCACTGAGTACCTCCCAGGCCGAGGTTGGTCGTGTCCATGAGCTTTTTCATACTTGCGGGGCTTGCTCTAGCAGAGCATTAAATTGCAGTCTTTTAGCTATTCAAGCCAGAGCTGTGGGGTCACCCATCTTACAGATACGCTTTCCAGTGCTCCATCCATGCCTGACAATCCCAACTGCACAAACAGGATCTGTGTGCTCCTGGACGCAGTCACTAAATAGTGTCAATTTCCTATTGTCTGACTTACTGTTTCCCATCAACACAAACACCCTGCAAAACGCAAAGGATGTTCTGTGGTGAGAATTTCAGAAGACACGAAGGTACTGGGCCCGGAGATCGTCCTGCTAGAAGTAGTACCTGATGGCATCCAGGCTTGGGCAGGGTCACACACACACCTCTGCAACCTGGCAACAAGCACCGTGGCTCTGCTCCCTGGCCCTGATGTGCACTGGGAAAAGGTGGGGCCATAGGCTCAGTCTGTACTCACGTTGTTAACGAACAGATGTTTTTATGGCCACAGAATGGTAGGCGGACCGTGGCAAAGGCCCTGCCCTGGTTGAACATTTCTGTCACTTGTGAGGGCAGGTAGCTAGTAGATGCCATGAGCACCTTCCCGAAGTAACCGGTCCAGGTGGTGGGCTCTTCTGGAGGTCTGGAAGGAAGCAGCAGACAGGTGAGGCTGGATCCTCACTGAGAACTTCAGAGCCAGCCCCAGACCCATTGATCAAGCCTCCACACTTCACAAAGAACAGCCGCACAGAGCACAGAGCATCCTGTTTCTTCCCTGGCCAGCTGCTGTGGCTGTGACAGGGTTATACCAGGGCAGATTCTGGAGCAGCAGCTCCAAAAACCCTCAGCACACACCCCAGACTCACGCAAGCTCCTGCCATGTTTCTTTAGCATGTGCACTCGTGATTATAATGTGGTCAGGACTACTTGTGGGTGCTGGGGGTCGCACTCAGGGTGTCTTGCTGGCAGCCGTATAGCCCTCTGTTGTATATCTTGTACATGTTTTTAACAACAGACACTTTGGGTGGAACATGAGCTCCCATCAATACTGGAGCCCCAGTGGGATGGAAGCACTCACTTTGATGACCTGTGACAGTCATTCCAGATGCCCCAGTGCAGAGGGTGTGGAGTGGGGACACATGGGCACCGATCAGAAGACAACCTTGGGACCCTGACTCATGCTGAAGCTGGGCTTGGTGGTGCCGTGCCCATGCTACAGCCAGACCAAGTCTGCACGCAGAAACAGTGCCGCAGAGCACAGTGGCTCTGTGCCATGCTTTTCTAGTGAATGTGGACAGTTTGCAATTTTGTGTACTTTTTTATATTTTTAAATACTTTTATTTAAAGGTTTTTACTTATTATGTATACAGTATTCTGTTTGCATGTATGTCTGTAGGCCAGAAGAGGGTGCCAGATCTGATTATAGATGATTACCAGTTATGCTGGGAATTGAACTCAGGATCTCCAGAAGAGCAGCAGCCAATACTCTTAACCAGAGACATTTTTCCAGTCCTTTATGTTTTTAAATTAATTAAAAAATTTATTATGTGTGCGTGCACATGCTCGTGTAAGCTTGTGGAGGCCAGAGGACAACGTACACGGGTATATTCTCTCTTCCCACCACTCGGTTCTCAGGGATGGAACTCATGTTGTCAGGCTTACACCTTTACCCACCGAGCCATCTCATCAACACGGCTAGCACAGCGGAAGCACATCCCCGTAACACTGCCGACACCCTAGGCTTGATCCTCAGTGCCTCCCACTCTCAATGAGCCACACTAGAAAAGCTTGTTTTTTAGCTGAGCAGTGGTGTCACGCTCCTTTAATCCCACACTCAAGAAGTAGAGGCTGGTAGATCTCTGAGTTTGAGGCCAGCCAGGTCTACAGAAGGACTTTCAGGACACCTAGGACTACACAGAGAAATCCTGTCTTGAAAAACAAACAAACAAACAAACAAACAAAAAAAGACAAACTTGTTTTTGCAACTCACTTTTCCCTCACGGCCTCGAGTTTGAAGATGTGCACAGTTTCTGTGTTGCTGGATGCAGAGAGGAACATGCCGTCCATGCTGAAGGCCAGGGAGCAGATGCTCACACACCTGAGGAACAGGGGCTGTGTGAGAGAGGGCCCAGATACATCCCCACAGAACACACTAGCAGCAGTTGGGGATGGGGGCACAGCAGTGCCTTCCCAGGGACTTGTAACTGAGGCCACAGAGGAGACACACTTGTCAGAGACACACTTGGTCCTAAAGACTTTTCTGTTCTTCTTGGCTGCCTCCTCAAGACAAAGGAACTTGCTTGTGATAAAACCAGTAAGAATAATTCTTTTATTGCTTTTTGAGACAGAGTCTTATTGTGTAATCCTGGCCAACCTGGCTTTGAAATTGTAATCATTCAAGCAAGGCAACGTGACCCATGCCTTTAATTCCAGCACTTGGGAGGCAGAGGCAGGTGGATCTCTTTGAGTTCGAGGCTAGCCTGGTCTACAAATCGAGTTCCAGGACAGCCAGAGCTACACAGAGAACCCCTGTCTGGGGTGGGGTGGGGGGATGAAGAAGCAGTCATTCTCCTGCCTCTGCCTCCCAAGTGGGCTCAGATTATCCCACTTCCCTCTGCACCCTTTTGAGGCAGAGTCTCACTATGTAGCCCTGGTATCCTTGAACTCACAGAGATCCTCCAGTCTCTGCCTGTTACTGGGACAAAAGGTATGAGCCACCACACCCAGGTGAGAAAAATTCTTCACCAAATGCACAACAAATAACCAAGTCTGTGTAGCTGTATGGAACCAGTTTTAGGTGGATGTAGTGGTGTGAATAGGAATGGCCCTCAAAGACTCATGTGTTTGAATGCTTGACCCATAGGGAGTGGCACTATTGAGGGGTGTGGCCTTGTGGGAGGAAGCATGTCATTGTGGAGGCAGGCTTTGAGGTCTCACATGCTTAAGGTACGCCTAGTGTGTGTGGTAGTCTCCTGCTGCCTGCAGGTCAAGATGTAGAACTCTCAGCTCCTTCTCCAGTACGCCTGTAACACCTCCACACTTCCCGTCATGACAATGGACAACCTCTGAACTGTGTAAGCCAGCCCCAACTAAATGTTTTCCTTTGTAAGAGTTGTTGTGGGGCTGGGCAGTGGTGGTGAACGCCTTTAATCCCAGCACTCAGGAGGCAGAGGCAGGCGGATCTCTGTGACTTCGAGACCAGCCTGGTCTACAGAGCTAGTTCCAGGACAGGCTCTAAAGCCACAGAGAAACCCTGCCTTGAAAAACCAAAAAAAGAAAAAAAAAAAAAAAAAAAAAAAGAGAGAGTTGTGGTCATGGAGTCTCTTCACAGCAACAGAACACTACGATAGTGGATTAGGACACAACAGTAGTGACTGACCACGAAGGTCTGTCAGCAGTGCTGGAGATGTTTTAGGGCAAGCCCCAGAACATGCCTCCAAGGTCACTAAACGTTCCACAGCCTAAACACACAAATTTCCCCTAACAAGGTAGGTTGTTAGTACTTCCAGCGTGTTCCCACCAGCCCTATATTGATGGAGTGCATGCAGCAAGTGGCACATTCTGGGTTGCTGTCTGAGTTGAGTGCCTGCCACATGTCCACTCAGCAGCACACACAGATGGCATTATTAGGAAGGATGTGGGGTACAATGAGGGTATAGAACAGAAAGGCTCCTGGCAGACACTGACACAAACATGACACCACACAGGAGAACCATCGAGGTGTGACAGGAGAAAGACAAAGATGCAATCCCTGAAGCAGACTGCAGCATCTGGCCTGTGACTTTTCTCCTGAAGCAAACGTTGAGACAGAGCCTTACTGTACAGTTCAGGCTAGGTAAGCCTGCTACACAGTCCTCCAGTCTCCCCAGTGCTGGGATTACAGGTGTGGTTGTGGAAAGGGGACACTGAGACATGTCTACAGTATCTCTGAGGAGAAGAAAAGGGCAGTGGCAACAGACAGTGGCAAATCCTCCAGAGAGGACAGTCAAGCATCCCTAAACATTCCTCAGAATTCACAATGCAGCTCTGGGGAGCTACTGTGTTTCCATTAGGGAGGAGGAAGGTGAGATCCAGAGGCTAAGGGATATGCTGCTGCTTTGTCATAGACACCATGATGGCTCAGGGACCTGAACCAAGCAGTAGGCACCACAGCCCTATCCTGTCCTACTGCGTTCCAGCATCTGCCTTACATAGCAGTAAGAGAGGAGTGTTAGGCATAGATGCAGGATGCTGTGGGCCGACAGGCCACAGAGACAACTCCTGACTCAAGAATAACCCAGGTTATCTATCTGCTAGAGGAAGAGAGCTGGGCAGGACCTCAGGGGCAGGAGCTGTCCCCCACCCTGAAATCTCCTGGTGCTTGGATTTCAAGACTCCCTCTGGTTCAGGCAGGGTCAAAAACTGATGAAGTCAAGCAGCTTTTCTGCAATGCTCTGTCCTGTCCTTCCAAGACTAGTTCAGGTGTGCTGGGACAGAGCTGCTGGCCTTCCCAGGCATCCTCCAAGTCTCCCGTCACGTGACCACAGGCAATGGGAACTGAACTCCCAGGGACACTCTGTGACCAGCTGGGGAACTGTGTACTCACCTCTTCACTCCTCTCCGGAACTCGAACAGCTTTTGTCCCTCTGGAATGGAAAATACCCGAATCACAGTTCCCTGGGTCAGAGAGAGGGTAAAGGGGGGAGAAAATAGAATTTTAGATGACAAAATAAGTTAAAAAATTGACCTTTCAGTTTTTTTCACATCTTTCTACATACGAGCAAGCCATGCAGTCTGTTTCCAAGGGGAACTGGGGTGCAGGAAAGCTGTGACCTCCTCTCTGAGCCCCATTCTGGAGCAGCACACACCCTGTCGCCACGGATCAGAACATTTTATCCTACTCCTGCTCACCACCACAGCAGTGCTTAAAGTCACAAGCAGCCTTGAAGTCATCCATGGAGCACACTGAAGCTGCACACCTTCACCCAGACCTTACTGGAGTCACTTATATTATTAATTAGACACACATACTTGGGATTTACACATAACTTAAACATACCATTACCCAAAATAATATGCAAGAGATGACAACATCAATACTCAAAATAGTGATGTTTACAAATATTACAGCCATTAAAGTGTTTTGTTGTTGTTGCTGTGTATGTGGTCTTTTTGAGACAGGGTTTCTCTATGTAACAGCCTTGGGCTGTCAAGGAAATCTATTTGTGGACCGGGTGGCCTCAGAGATCTGCCTGCCTCTGTCTTGGAGTGTTGGGATTAAAGACTCATGCCACCACATCTGGCCATTGTTGTTGCTTTTGAGACAAGGTACCACTATGTCCCTGGTTAGCCTAGAATTCACTATGTAGACCACACTGGCTCTGAATTCAAAGACCCACCTGCTTCTTGAGTTATTACCATGCCCAATTTTTTTTCTATTTTATGCCACAAACAAGCACTTTTTTTATATATAATTCAAGCTCCCCAGCCTGTGGCACTAATGAAGGTGGTGGAACCTTCAAGACATGAGGCCTAGAGGAAGTTCATCTAGTCTCTATTAATGTGTCCTTTAAAGGCAATATGGGGGTACCAGTCCGTCCCCCCCTCCTGGCTACACACAAGCAACTTTTGTTTTGGTCACAGAGTAGGCTCAAAGTGACAGAGCTCTCTGACCACTAACTAACTGTGGGTAACTTACACTGTGGTTTCTCTGCACAGCGGGCTCTTTCTGGTTTTCTGTGCACTGGGGAATATAAAAACCTGCTTGGTAATGTGTGAACAGAATGAGCAGGGCGCATGGAGACCACTGACCCAGGTTTCCTCTAGCCACAGCAGACATACCTTCTCAGAAGCAGTGGCAAGCTTGGTCCCACTTGCATCAAAAGCCAGGGCTGCTAAGGGACTGTCATGAGCTGGGATCATGTTTGCAGCTCTCTGAAAAGGGGAAATCAAGAAAACATGACTCTCCCACAATAGCCTTGTCCCCATGCTACCAGTGGGGCCATCAGGGGGAAGAGGCTGTAAGAACACCATTACTAAGGTCGACGTGAGTAATGCAGCCACGTGGTGGGCAGGCCGTGGAAACACTGCTCAGACTTCAACAAGCGGGGCATCTAACCCCGTTTGCTGGGTTCTGCCAATAAGCACACCCTGGAGCTCAGCACTGTGTGAGCACTGGTAAGACACAGGCAGCTTCGCCAGACCCGCTCTGCCACCTAAAGAGAGCACCAGGGAAAGCCATGCTGCTGGGCCAAGGATGCACTGCATGCCTTCCCAGCAAAAGACATCTGACAGAGCCTCAAGGACCTCACCAAGTTAATGGTGTCGAAGACCTGCACCTCTCCAATGGTCGCACTCCCTGGATACGCCAAGTAGCAGTTGTCATTGTTTATTGACAGTGCACACAAGCCTGTGGAAACACATGACAACTGAATGCACACTGAGTCTAGAAGGATACCTTTTAGTGTTAGAATGGAGCTAACATTTCTGGAATAAAACCAGTAAGAAGTAGCAGCTAAACCTTCTCTGCATTCTCTTTTAAGTTCTGCACCCCAGGCCACCCTGTCTGATAGTACCGATCAGAGATGAAAGGCCTTTGGTTTGGAATGACCAGCAGGCTGGGCTATAGCTGATCCAACCAATGGGCTTTCATGCTCACAAGATAGTCCTACTGGGACTGGACCAGGAGGGTAATTTACACATTTTATACCTGCCTCGTGTGTGGACCAGAGAGGAAACTCCCACCCTACGGCAGTCTTTATTACATTTGTTTATTAAGCATGTATGCACGTGTGCCAATTAGTGTCCATAGTAGTCAGAGGACAACGCGAAGGAGTTGATTCTCTCCTTCCATCATGTGTGTTCTAGGAGTGGCGCTTGGGTCCTCGGGCGTGGTGGTAAGTGCCCATTTACTCGCTGAGCCATGTCATTAGCCCACAGTTATCTTTAGAAGCCCAAAGAAACCAGGATCCTCCTTTTGTAAAAAATAAATTGTAGGGGGCTGGAGAAATGGCTCAGCAGTTAAGAGCACTGACTGCTCTTCCAGAGTACCCACATGGCTGATCATAGCTGTCTGTAACTCCAGTTTTGGGGGACCCAACACTCTCACCCAGATATACATGCAGGCAAAACACCAATGCATATAAGATAGAAAAACTGTACTTGTTTTTGGTTTGTCTGTGTGCATGTATGTGGCTGGTCACGTGCATGCATTGGATGGAGTAGGTGGAAGGGCAAGTTGCAAGAGTGACAAGTACCTTTACCTGTCCAGCCAACATTCCAGATCTTCTTAGCCATGGCTTACCTGCAGGGTTTGGGGGTGTCTCTCGGATGGTATGAAGTACCTTCATGTCCCGGATGTTGTGTATATAGAGTGACTCTTCCAGGCACACGATGAGCCTCTAGAAACAGTGAGAACAAAGACCACCAACCATGAAGAAGCACTGGGGCAGCATGTGCTGTATTCCAACGGAGCTGCCGCCTGGGTCAGATGCGCTCCACTCCGAGGACACCACACAGGCTGGTGTACAGAGCTCAAGTGTGTGCAGCTACGGACAATCAGGTTCTAGAGCCATTTCCATCAGCTGCATACATCAAGTGCACTACAAATTCTAACGTGGTGACTTAATTCAGTTCCATGTGTTTGGGTGACTGGGGCGAGATCTATAAAGGCAAACTGCTTAGAAAACTATGGGGAGGGCCAGGGAGATGGTTCAGTGGGTAATAGCAATTACTGTGTGAGTGTGAGGACAGGAGTTCAGACTCCCAGATGCGTAGTGCAAGATGGAAGGCGGAGATGGGAATTCCCTGGAAGATCATTAGCAAGCTAGCCTGGTGTATATAGCGGCAGGCAAGACACCCTGTCTCAAATAAGGTAGAAAGTTCATACTGAAACCCAAGACCATGCTTTGACCTCTACACGTTCACACACACACCCAAACAGCTATGTGGTAGCTTGGCTAGGTGCACCTACTGGGCCTATCATCTCATCATCTACCTACTGCAGAGACTGAGGCAAGAGGACAGCAAGTTTTGAGGCCCCATCACAAAATAAAAAGTAAAAATGGGTTGGAGATGTAGCTTAGTGCTAATTGCCTCAAGTGTGAGGTCCATCCTGAGTACCACAAGACCCCTACAAAACCCAAAAACCTATGATGAAAATACAACTAAAAGCATGGGAATTTATGCAAATTGCAAAACGTTACTGTGTTCACAGGTTATTTTGCTGTAAAGTCTTACTTTTTATTTCATGGGTGTTTGCTTGCATGTATGCATGTATACTGTGTGTGCTAGTTCCTGAGGAGGTGGGAAGAGGGTATGAGATCCCCCTGGAGGTAGAGTTACAGGTGGCCGTGAGCCCTTTCCAGGTCCCCTACCCTGTTCTCACCCATTTTAAAGACTGGACACTGGGTTTCTAGAGAAGCTGACGGGGGATTTTAGTGAGGGGCTTGCACACACTCCACATCAGCTACACAGGAACATGTACCTGTTATGTCTTAAACTTGGAAAGTGTTCAAGCTATTACGTCCCACAACTTCCCAGCGGAACTAGTTGATGGATGGGGCCAATTCCCAGTATAATCATCAGGTAACCAGGAGGCACATGTCTGGTTAACTGCTTTAAAAAGAAAGCAGCCCCTTGGACTCGAACCCTCACAGTAGGGGAGACTCAGCCTATTCCTGAGGTACCTTACCCTGCAGAATGTACATGCCGCTGCACACAGAAAATGCTAGAGCTCTTCTGCAGTGGCTACCTGTGTGCAAACTGAGGCCAGGATATGCAGGAAACACACTCAAAGGTCCACATAATTGTGCCATGTGGGCTTGAGGGAAAATATATGACACAGTAACAACTGAAAGAAGATGGTATATTTTTTAAAGTGTCATTTATAAATGCAAAAGAAGGCATGGCATAAAAAGCCTAAGCTACTCCTGTACCCGCATCCAGCAGACAGTAACTGAAAGTAAGACTCGTGTCCTGAGGTCAAGTGGAGCAGGCTGGGACAAAGCCAGTGACAAGCAGAGGACCACCTGATCTGGCTGAGTAAATGTGTTCAGCAGTCAGAGAGGATGGGGCACACCTTTAATCCCAGCACTATGGAGGCAAAGGCAGATGGATCACTATGAATTGGAGGCTGGCCTGGTCTACATAGAGACCCTGTCTGGAAAACCCAAAGAAAAGACATGTGCAGGAACTGTAGACGATGGTGCAGGGCTGGGAGGTAACGGCACAGGGTTGAAAGCCCAATAGTGTGAGACATGGGAGGAACATTGAATGACAGTCAGTACACACTTAGTTTTTGTTTGGTGTTATGTGTATGCATCTACATAGCTGTGAGAAATGGTGGTTAGAAGCCAGAGATGTCACCCATCCTGCTCTATTATCCTCTGCCTCATTCCCTTGAGACAGGATCTCTCACTGAACCTGGAGCTAAGGCAGGTAGCCAGTAAATCACAACAATATTCCTGCCTCTGCCCCCCACAATACTAGGGTTAGACGCACACACGCCCAGTCTGGCTTTTTATGCAGCTGATGGGGAGTCAGACTCAGGTCCTTGTACTTACGCAGCACTAGAGCTGGTTTTACGTTGTGCTTGGGATGGTACCCAGGACTCAGTGTATGGTGGGTACTCTACAACTGAGCTGCTTACAGCACAAGGTGCCACTCACCTGCCTATTCAGCTTCACTGCCAGGATCGTGTTGGAGTAACTGTAGTTGCAAATCTCGGTTCCCTTTTTAAAGTGGCAAACTTTCAGCTTCCTGGGAGCTTTGAGACTGACGATGGCCACCAAGCTGCTTGAGAACAATCTCTCCACGATGCATACATCTTCAGTGTCAGCTGGAACGAGAAGAAAAACACATGAATTGATACATACATCTCCTAGTCAATACACCCAATCTGCCCACAGATACAAGTGCATGCACTTCTAACAGGTACATGACACAGAACACTGTAAGGGACATGTGGGCTGACAAGCTCCCAAGAATCACAGGACAGCAGGCGGGATGGAAAGTCTCATCATCTGTAGCCATGGCTGCTGTCACTATAAATACAGATCACACCCTATGTGCAAACTCAGATGCCAAAGCAAAATCATGAAAGCATGTCTTTAAATATACTCTGCTGCTGGCAGGACTTCAAACACACTTTCTACATTTATTTGTTGCGGGTATGCATGTTTACCAAGGAAAATGTGGAGGTCAGAGGAAAATCTGTGGAAGTCTGTTCTCCCTTCCTATCATGTGCATTCTTGGGTTCCAACTCAGGTTGTCAGGCTTGGCAGCAAATGTCTCATCAGTCCACACTTATTCAAATAGGGTCAAGGGGGCACAGGCTAAACCCACACCGTAGCTGCTCTGGCACTGGCAGTCAACCACAGTTCATGGTTAGCTCCACGATCACAAGGGGAAGAACTGCACTGCTGCTACGTTCAGTGAGTTGGGTTGATAAATGCAGCTCTATTTGCAACTGTATAAGTCAAAGAGCATTTGTGTTTCTAGGTAAGTGCATGGTTTCACATGTCTGCCTGACTTGAAAGGCAAATGTGCACTAACACACTAGACATAAGCTAGAACCAGACACACCCCTTTTTGTTAAAAGTGTGAGAATGTGCTGTTACTCACAACTGAATGGGCAGTAAAAATCAAGGCATGATCCTAAGCTCTTCACAGCTTATTCATGGGCACTTTTGGCCAGATGACACAAATCACATTTGCTTCTCTTCCAGAGCAGCAAGCAAGCCTTCATTTCAAAGATCAAAACACAAGTGGCTGCCACCATTGGGGAACAGGCCAGATGGGTGGGAGCCAGGAGGTGGGGCCTATGCTGCAGAGGCTTTGCCAAGCAGCATCCTGGCATAGGTGCCAAGCCCTGCTCAGATGTGCCTGGCAACAAAGGGCACAGGTGACACTGCTGGCTCTTGGAGGCAGCGACTTTGCAGATGACAAGCACTCAAGACAGCCAACCAGATCTGAGACCCAAAACATTAACTATCTGTAGAACAAAGAGCCTCAAGAAATCCCAAGGATATCTATCATGATAAACTTGCTAGGCAGGTACACACTGCCCTGAGTTGATTTCCAGCAACACAAACTGTAAATCACATCACTCAGAAAGAGGAAAAGTGGATCAGTTTACAGGAGGCAGAGGCAGGTGGATCTCTTGTGACTTGGAGACTAGCCTGGTTTACAGCGAGTTCTAAGCTAGCCAGTCACACAGAGATCCAGTCTTTAAAAAAAAAAAGGGGGGGGGGGGGGGCTAGGGCTGGAGAGGTGCTCAGCAGTGAAGAGGTTCTTGTAGAGAACCTGAGTTCAGTTCTCAGCACTGACATCGGATGGCTCACAATGACCTATAATTCCATCTCAAGAGGGTCTGATGCCCTCCTCTGATCTCTGAGGTCATCTGCATTCCTGTGCATGCAACATATCCTTAATTTAAAATAGCAAAAATAAATCTTTGAAATACATGCTTGTTGCAAAAGCATGAAAACTGGATCCCCAGCACCCATGTACAAAGCAGGACATGGTGGTGTAGTGGGGAGGCAGACACATGGGGGCCCAGGCAGCTCAATGGTTAGCTAGTGCAGAAGTGTCAAGCTGGCCTCTATCTGATCACCTCCCCCCTCCCAACACACAAATTAAAAGGAAAGCCAGCTGTAGTGGCACTAAAAGCAAGAGCATGGCTGTAAATTTGAGGGCATACTGTAAGTTCAAGCCAGCTATGATTAGCTGTCTCCTCTTGGCTCTTGCTGTCAGTAGTGATGAACCTAGCTTCAGTAGCCTCAAAGATGCAAGAAGGACTAGATTTTAGCTTTGCTAACTGTTGTTTAACTATGTAAAGATTGTTACTATTTTACCTTGCCTGCCTAAAGGCACCTGACTGATTTAATAAAAAGCTGAATGGCCAATAGTGAGTGACAGAGGTATAGGTGAAACCTGCAGGCAGGGAAAGTAAGTATGAGGAAGAATTTAGGCTTGGGGGATGACAGGGGAGAAAGAGATCCAGAGAGTCACCACGGAGAAGCCAGGAGCCAGCCAGGCACAGATGAAGCAGGGAAGTAGGACATACAGAAGGCAAATACTTTATCAGTCATTTCTTGTGCAAAACTGATTTGTTGAGTGAATTTTATGCAACTCCACTGGCCCTTTCCATTAAAGTGTGGGTGAGATAACCTTAACACTTTTCTACATGCAGCTGTGTGTCACACTTCAGATCCGGAGTTTGAGAAGCTTCCCCATGCTAATGTTTAACTCCAGCCCTGGGGATTTTACTTGACATTTGCTTGACAGGTAGAATGGGGGGGGGCACAGTCCTTGTCTTCTGCACACACACCTAGTGAAGGAGAGTGTGAGAGGGAGGTGAGGGGGCAGGAAAGGACCTGTAGGATGCGCCTGAGGGCAATGTCTGTCATGGGAGTCCCTCTGTGCTAACCCAACCTGGCACTTCAGCAGACACCAAAGTACAGGACCATGCCACTTAGTCGTCAGGAGCAATAAAATCCAGCAAGACTAAGTTTAAACTGTGTGAAACTCCACCCCCTTCTGAGCAGAAGGGAGGATCCTAGCCAGGTCCAGAGGCCAGTAGGCGGTCAGGTCATCTGGGGGAGGGGCTGGGAGCTCCGTGCTATGAGCACCAAACCCGCTCTGGAGCAAGGGTCACCACTGGCTTTGGGGCAGGGTAGAGGTGGGAGGGTTCCTAAGTGCAAGCACAGCACATTAGTAGAACAGAGCCAGCAGCAGGCACAGGAAAGACCAGGACATCACAGCCACAAGTTCAAACCCAGTCAACTAGAGGAAAATTATGCCAGTGCCACAGAGGCAAACAAAACAACCAGTGTTCAGACTGCGTGTGGTGTCTCACAACTACAGTTGGCACTTTGGAGGACGAAGCAGGAGGACTGCTACAAGTTTGAAGCCTGTCATAACTACATAGTGAGACTGTGTTTAAAAAAATGAAAGTAGCTGGTAGGGTGGCTCACAACTTTAATCCTAGTACTCAGAAGGCAGAGGCAAAAAGATCTGAGTTTTAGGCCACTCTCGTCTACAGAGTTACAAGATAGGCAGGGCTACAAAGAGAAACCCTGTCTCAGAAAGCAAAAAAAAAAAAAAAAAAAGTTCCCCCCCATTAGAAACTACAGGCAACAGGGGTGGGGTGGGGAAATGCACACCCTTATCCTAGCACAGGCAAAGACAAGGAGATCTCTGAATTCCAGGTAACGAAAGTAGGGAGAAAGGACATCTAGGAATAAGAAGAAAAATGTCTTGGTCAGGCATGGTGGCACACATCTTTAACCCTACCCAGCACTCGTGAGGCAGAAGCAGGTGGATCTCTGTTGAGTTCCAGGTCAGCCTGGTCTACATAGTGTGCTCCAGGACAGCCAGGGCTACATAGAGAGACAGACACTGTCTCAAAATACCAAAAAGAAAAATCTCTAACACCACCTTCAGTGGTGGAATCATAATTTGCCCTTGGAGATTGGGCACAATATCCCTGCTTCACTGTACATCCCTGTGACAGATCCCACCTGGACCCAAGTCTGTTAGATTACGGATGCTTTCCCTGCAGAGGGATTAGTCATACCTTATATTCAGTGTGACACCTTCCCTAAGATGCTAAACTAGTGTTTAGCACCACAGTAGGGTGGGACATAGGATTAACTTTCCAAATTATTGCCTTATGTCCTACCTAAGTTCATTAATCTGCTACACAAACAAAACCAAAACAGAAACACCAGACCTGAGCCCAATATGGGGTGAGCATCCCCATGTATGTATGGTGCTACCTTGGCTAAGGGCAGAGTGTTGACCCTACCTTTCCAATGTCAGGAAGTTACCTAACACCAGTGGACAAGGCCAAGTTCCTCAGTCAATCATCTATATCTATTCTATGAATGGGAATAGGCACCTACACTTCTTGCACAACAATGTATAGAACAGAGTTGTTCACAACAGCCAAGAAAAGCAAACAGCCCACGTGTGCATGAATGAGTGAATGAACCAGACAGGACAGCTGGAGATTATAACAGTACTCAGCAATAATACAAAGGAAGGCCTGATACAGGGGAGAGCAGGGAAGAGTTATAAAACCATTTCAGAACAGAGCCAGCCGCACTAAGCTGCATTTATCTGCAAAGCCCAGACAGCAAATCTATAGATGCAGAAAGGAGATGAGTGGCAGAGCTGGGTTGGGTGGAGAGGGAATGGGGAGTGACTGCTAATGGACTCGGGCTTTAAAAGATGATAAAAACATTTGAAAATTCCATGATGGTAGGCTGCTCAACTTAGCAAATGTAAGTCACTCAACTAGATAGTTTAAGCAGATTTATGGACCATAAAGGTATAGAAACTATATCCCAAAGAGACGGTTTAAATCACACTAAAACCCATCTCAGGCAGCCTAGTGCAGCCTCAGGCAACCCATGAACTTTGGCTGATGTATTAAGACCTGATGCAAGAGGTTAGTATCACAAGTGGTAGGGGGCCTCTCAGTACAAGTCATGTCACCTGGGGGAAATGGGCCTTGGGGACAAGACAGAAGCTAAGTATAGGCAGACCCTCCAGGACTCCAGTCCTTCAACCCCAGGCAATGGGCACTAGTGGGGGTGTGGGACGTCTCTTAAAACACTGAAGACATCCAACTGCTACTGGGTTTTCTGGGGGTAACTTTCTGTCTTTTATCTGACTTCCATAGGGGCCAATAACCAGGAAAAAGGTTAGGCCCTCTGCAAATGGCAGGGTCCCTCCTCCCCAGCCTCTGACTGACCAAGAAGAGCTGACTTTGTGTAGACGTGTGCATGTATGAGTGAGAGCAGGCCAAACAAAACACTGTTGACAGATGTC